AGAGAGAGAGAGAGAGAGAGAGAGAGAGAGAGAGAGAGAGAGAGAGATCTAATACCAGAAACTCTCTGAAAACACACAATTTTGAGGAAGCATTGCTGTAACAGACATAAATAATGCTAAAAATCCTCTGTAATCAAAATGGCATGGCAGCCATTGGTGGTGGTGTGTGCCTGTAGTCCCAGCTACTCAGGAGACTGAAATAGGGTGGTAACTTGAGTCCAGGAGTTCAAGATCAGCCTGGGCAACACAGTGAGACCCTGTCTCAAAAAAACTCTAAAAAAACAATAAATATGGTGGTAGGGGTATGTGTATAGGTATCCAATCACTGAAACAAAGTAGAAAATCCAGGAACAAACTCAAATACATGTGGAAGTTGGTATAAGATAAAGAAGATATTCTCAAATCAGTTAAGGAAAAATGGACTATTTATTTAATAAAATATAACCTACCTTGAACCACTTAGGAATATGAAAGGTCTATTGACAGACAAAAATCTAGAATACATATAAGTATGACTAACTTTATAATAGCAACAACAAAACACTCCTGTATTAAACAAAAAAGATGCAAACCCAAGTGATGAGATGAGAAAAAAACAATTGTGACTCATGTAATAAGAGCTAAACTCTAATATATAAAGAGTTCTCAAGAATTCATATTTAAAAATACCCAAAACTTCTCAAGGCCAGTCCAGGCAACTTAGCATGAGCCTGTCTCCAAACAAAATAAAAAGGGGTGAGGATGTAGCTCAGTGGCAGAATGTTTGCCTAGTATATACACAGAGAGGGAATACAAGGCCATGTAAGGCTTGAACCTAGCGGTGCTCTACCTCTGAGATACATCTCCAGCTCTTTTTATTTCAAGTCAGGGTCTTGCTAAGTTGCCGGGGCTGGCCTTGAACTTGTGAACAAGCCATGGGTTCAATCCCCAGTACTACAAAATGCAAGCAAACAAAACCCAGCAAACCAAGAACTTAACCAAAAATAATGGGCAAAACTATAATTTCTATGTCCAGTAAAGTAAATAGAAAAATAGCTCTTTCTGAGGGCATGAGCCACAGTTTTGCTTTTCTCTTGTATCCTCAGGCCTGGCATATAGTAGAAACTCAATAAATGTTTACTGAATGGATTTTTAAACTGGTAGCTTTTATATTCAGCCAGAACATGATAATTATTTTTATAAAATTAATGATTTGTATCAGCCTAGACAAAAGTAATCTGACTTATGTTCCTAAAATTAGTTGACAGTGGAAACTAAGTTATTTCTAGATGTTTCAATAAAGGGCAGGGCTATAGAACAAAAACTGTACACCATGAGAAAATAACTTTAATAAACTCACTCGAATGTCTTGTCTGTTGATCAAAGTAAATCCAGTATAGTAAATAACAAAGTTAGCACTGTAATCTTTAAAATCAAAGGACAACAATATGTATAATTAGGGATGTAATAAAAGCTTTTCATTGGAGGCTTACAGATTATAAATTAAACTTAATATACAGTTAAGATGAAATTGAACTTACCTTCTACCATATTACCATCCTTCTGAAAAATTCTTTCTTCACACCACTGACAATGGATTAGGTACTGAATCTTCTTCGCTGTTTCATCAGCTGAGGTAGGCCCCCTCAAAACTCTCACCACCACCAAAACAAAATGTTCCAGAGCCACTGCAAATAGTACTTCTATGCCTTTGTTGCATCGGGCTGCAGCTCTATTAAAAATTTTTTGAAGTTATTTTTGGGTGATTATTTTCTTCTTTTATTTGGCATTATAATGACAATACTAATGTGAACAGTAAACTATGGGTGGGTTATGGTAAATAAAGGAAAATTCAATATCTAGTAGTAATGCTTTTAAAAGATCATTACTAGAACTTTACACAAATAGAAATACATGGATAAAGAACGCCCAGGAGGGTCTTTGGTCTTGACATTTTCCCTTATGATAGCCTCTCCGTAGGACTATATATTCTGGTTTTCAGAGTCACTTTGTTTCTCGTCCTTAACATTAGCTTTTTTCTATAAAAGCTTCTTTGAAATAATATATATTTATGTACGTTTACTGAGTACTGATTATAGGCATGATAGTATGCTAACTGCTGAATATTTAGAGAACAATGAATACTAAAAGTCTTTTCTACCATTAATTACAGATTTTTTTGGACTGGATTAAGTTCTACCAGGTAAACCATTTCTGAATTTGTTATATTATAAACAGTTTTAAGTATGTGCAGTAAGTTATAGGCAGCACAAAATGTGCATAGGATTTTTGAGTTAATTAGTGATAACCCCAAAGGTCTATTAATCTGTGTTTAAATTGAGGCAGGAATTTCCATCTAAATGCTGTAGAACTTGTGTTTGAGCTAGTAAACTGGCTAATCATTCATTATCTATACTCCTAATTCCAATTATATTCTTGTTCTTCTAGCATAATATTCTACAAGTAATAGGTGCTCAAAAAAGTCTTCCCCATTTCAATGGTTATTTCTGATGAGAAGCTTCTTAGTTTGTAAGATAATTTTGTAGAATAAAGTTTATAAGCCATCCTTTTATTCAAACTATATGAAGATGAAATGGACATAAAACAAATAATCCTCTCTAAATCTAAGAAGTTTTTGTTTTCCATATCATGTTACTATCTCCTATCTACCCTAATCGTTAAGATAAATAGATATGAAATTAATTTTTACTTATATCTTTTCTTTCTTACTACTTTAATTATTTTAATAACATGTTGGAGAGTAAACTAAATATTTTAGATATAAACTTTTAAATAAGGTTTAACAGAATATAAGATTAAAAACACAATAAAACAAATTCATATTAGCGATTTGGGATACAGAATCTTTATTTCACATTTTTTGAAAAATAATGCCTGTAATCCCAGCAACTTAAGAAGCTGAGGCAGGAGGACCGTGAGTTCAAGACCAGCCTCAGCACTTATCAAGCCCCTGAGCAACTTAATGAGACCCTGTCTCAAAATAAAACGTAAAAAGAGCTGGGGATGTGGTTCAGTGGTTAAGCACCCGTGTTCTATCCCTGGTACCAAAACAAAAACAAAAAGAAAACAAAACATGATCTAAGCATTCATTTGTAGTATTCTTTCAATCATTATGAAAAAACATTAGGTATACGATTGGCCATCTGGTACCTCGCCACTGCGGCTACGACAATTCTGGCAGCTAATTCCTTGTAATACTCAGTTCGAACAATGTTACATCCATAGTGACGTCGGGCAACGTGTTGTGCCTTGGCATACAAGGAACTGATATCTGTAGATGTCACTGATACTATGCCAAGGTTCCTTATATTTCTGAATGCAGAATCTAGATAGTTTACTGATGTTCCAAAAGGGTCTAGGTGTCTAAAATCAGAAAGAATATAGACATATTTAAACTCATATTAGTAACCAAAATCATACCCCTGTAATTATTTCTAATAAGATTTTATGATTCAAAAGTACCTTACAATCTATTTAAAATACATGGTTCTGTTTTTAAAATAATAAAGTAGTTATATCATAGATCAGAAATATAAATCATAAATCAGGCTAAAAATGCTAGAAAGTTTTCTTATCGCATACTTTAAGCCAATGTAAAAAGCTGTATTAATTTAAATAAACAACAACAATAAATTAATTTAACTCCCCCTCCCCCCAACCCAAATGTCCAGGTCAGTTTAACAAGTGACATAGCAAATCTTTTTCACTTACATGAAATCAAAAGATCTTAAATGCATCAGTACATTGGCATCCATTTTGGTCACCTTAATATTACCAAGATTTTCTTCTCCTTCTTCAAGAATATCATCACCCTCTTTCTTTTCCTTACTGTCTACCACCACTTTCAATTTGTTTAAATGGCAGTTTTCCTGAATCAATGTCACAGAGTTTTCATTCAAGTCATTAATTGTAACTTTGACTGCATTTCCAAGGTGCTTTGCCCACTGTAATCCCATTATTCCTTAGGGAAAATGGAGAAGATAACTAGTTTTTAAATTATAATAACTAAAGAATAAAAACAGTATGAAAAGAATATATTTTTATATATAAATCAAATTCCTTCAAAAATCTTAGTATTTTCATGAACAATTCTTATTTTACTTTCTTAAAAAATTTTTCTCAAGAAGTTAACACAAAAATTTGCCTAAAATTTTTAATACTTCTTACAATACACTTTTTATGAACCTTGTTCAAATAAATGTTCCATGTACTTTTAAAATTTATTTTATAGAATTGGTTGTTATTATCACTGTTTTTTTTTTCTTACAATGGAATAGTATTTCAAACAAAATCTTAAAGAGAAACTCAATATATAATAATAACAACTGTGGGGATACTCTGCTGGAAGGGAGAATGACAGGGTGACATTGTCCTGCTGAAGTTTACCTTCACATGCCAAAATATAAAAAAATAACTTTTCTAGAATAGCGATTTTCAAATACTGCACAAAATCATCACTGTGAGTTCAAAAGAACTTGTACATATAAGCAAATAATCAAGAATTTAGACAAAGAATTCCCCTCCTCACAGGCTTTGCATACTGACAGGATTAGTCATAAGTAACAGACATAAACACAACCAATTCGATTAGAACGCCCCTATGTATTAGAAATAATGACCATTTTCTCCATGCGTGTGTCTCATAAATGGAAAAAGTTCTTATCTACTGTGCATTAAGGTCTTTACATATTCTCATAAGTTCTAATGTCCTCATTAACATGGTAAATATGCATATGGCAGCTACAAACCCAGATATAAGGTTATGAAGACACATTAAAAAGAAAAGGCTGAGAAAAATCTTTCTTAGACATCAGCTTTAATAATTTCAGATTAAAAACAAGAGTGAAGAAAAAGGGCGTGTAAGGAAAAACACGGGAACATAGATTTGGAATAGTGGGTTGGGATCAGATTATGAAGAATATTAAATTGCTATTTGAGAAGTATGGACTATAGGTAGTAAAGATAGATGACTTTTTTGATTGAGAAGTAACAATATTAATGTAGTTCTTCAGAGGAATGGCTGTTTGGCAGTAATACAGAAGACAAATTAGAGGGAAGAGACAGATTATAAACCAGGGTACTAATTAAAGACAACTAAATACACTTGGAAAAGGAGTGAGTTATAGTACCAAAGAAAAATCAAGAGATGTGGTGGCTGAGTTGATCTGACGAGAGTAGAGAGGAAAAGAGGAGCAAAAAATTATTCAATTTTCATAGTTAGGTGACTCAGAAGTGTTAGTTCATTACTTTTACCCTATTTGCACGGAGACATTACCAATGAAGGTGTTGGTAGTAGCAGTAGTAATAATATAATAAAGGTGATCCTCAATGCTTTCATGGCATTTTCTACTTAACAGGTATTGTTCTAATGACTTTAACTATATTAATTTACTTAAATCTTCACTGCTAGAAGTTGCATACTGGTGTTGTATCCTCCACTACTCCACTTCTATACATAAGCAATTTACTGTGGTCATACAACTAGTACATAATGAAGCTGGGACTTGAACCCAGGCAGTTTGGCTCTATAATCCATGCTTTTAATCACTGTTTTTCACCAAGGAGAGGAGCATAGGAAGGAGAGATTCCTCATGCTTGCTAAGAGCATAATCCTAAATTCTTTATGAAGAAAGCCTTGAACTGGGTACAAGTGGCTATTAAGAAACCATCTACTGTTTCCCTTATCTTTTCTCTATTGTTAAAAATCTCTTGGGGGGGCTGGGGTTGTGACTCAATGGCAGAGCTCTTGCTTTGCACATGTGAGGCACTGGGGTTGATCCTCAACACCATATAAAAAAATAAACAAAATGAAAATATTGTGTCCCATGTATAACTAAAAAAATATTAAAAAAAAATCTCTTGGGAAGAAGAATGACTTTCAAAGTTGAAGGCTACGCAATGGTTATTACAACACACAAAAAAAAGAGTCATCAGTTGCTTCCTGATTATAGAAAATAAGCATTCTTGAAAAAATAATTTATAACTGAATCTGACCAAACCATCAGTTTATTTATTTTTATTTTTTTATGGTGCTAGGGATTGAAAAACCAGGCCTTTTGCATGCAAGGCAAGCACTGTATCAACTGAGTTATCTCCCCAGCTCTGAAACCATCAATTTACAAAAATACAAGAGAGAAAGGAAAATGTTATATGAACCATAGCAATACAATCAGCAAAATCTAGACTGTCAGAACTCTATAGGTCAAAAGACCTGTTATATCAAGAAATAATTAACACACACACACACACACACACACAGACATATATAATTAACACACACTCTTTAATAAGAGTTAAACAGCAAACAAAATACATAGTCTAGATTCTGATTTGAACTTTTAAAAACAAAACTGGGCATATATATACAACTGGTGATATTAAAGAGTTATTCTTATTTTTTTAGGTGTGATAATGGTATTATAGTTTTATTTATTTAAAAAAATTCTCTTTTAGACATCCAACTTAAATATTTACATGAAATAACACATACATGGTTTGTTCCATATTAATGGGGATTGAGCAACTGAGGTGTGGGGTATGGGGAAACAGATAAAACAAGACTAAGTATGAGGTGATTATTTCTGAAGTGAGTGATAAGACACACAGGGAGTCATTAATTATACTCTTTGCTTTTGTATATACTTAATAGACAAATAAAGCTGGGAGCGGCAGTGCACGCCTATAATCCCAGCAACTCAGGAGGCTGAGGCAGGAGGATCATGAATTCAAATCCAGCCTCAGCAATGGTGAGGCAGAAAGCAACTCAGGGAGACCCTATCTCTAAATAAAATACGAAATAGGATAGGGGATGTGGCTCAGTGGTAGAGTGCCCCTAAGTTCAATCCCGAGTACAAAATAAAAGAAAGTAAAATAAAGGTATTGTGTCCATCTATAACTAAAAAAAAAATAAAATAAAAACTATATATTTTCTAGAAAAAGACACTGTAAAAAATTGAGAAAGAAAATGGGATTCCAAAAATACTTCCTTCCTTACCAGTCGCTCCAAAGGCATCTAGACATTCCAGAGGTTTTCGTTCCTTAGCCAAAGCAGCCAATGTGCAGAATATCAGCTGTCTAGAAGAAAGTAATATAAAGGTAATTTTACGAGATTATAGCTTCATTATTGTAGATTTTATTTCATTTAAGAAAAGTGAGAATTGGAAGGGGTCTCTAGTTACTGTACAAACTATTTTGAAAAGAGAAGCAATAAAATATATCCCCATTTTAATAGCATAAAAAACTTAAGAAATTAAATTATGAATTTAATTAAGTTCTATCTAATAAGCCTTTCTTCATTTACTTATTAATAAAACTGGCCTATGAAAGTGCAGCCTATTCATTAATTATATAAAATTAGGCCAATTTAACTTTCTGACAAAAACAAAACAAAGAACCATACACATACACACACACTAAATAAAACAAACAAAAAACTAGATTGGTAGTCTGCACCTAAAGTTTAATACATTAGAACCATAGAGGTTAAAAAAAAGATATCTGTAATGATTTGAAATAGCCCATAACCCCTTTAAAAAAAATTATCTTACCGATTTAGTTTCATTTTGGGATTAAAATAGGAATCTGTTTTCTGAGGTATAGAATAGTTAGGACAAACTTGTACATCTGTGTCTGTTTCTTTCAAAATTTCAGTACATGGTTTAGCAGTAGAAGCTAAGATTGAAAAAAAAAAAGATTTCAGGAACAAACAAAGTTATTCTAAACATCTAAAACAACATACATTTGAAAAAAAACTATATTGTTTTGTGTTAATGTAAGCAGTTGGGTAAATAATAAAACCAAAAAAACTCATTTATTCATCACTGTCTCTAAAAAAATGTTGCACCCAGGTAAGTATCTGGTGAATGAAAGAAAGTGTATTCACTTAAAATCTTGACTGCATAACATACCTACATATCTGTACTATGATATCTAAGGACAATCATTTTAAGATAGCATGAAATCCTAAAATACCTTTATGATTCAGCAAATAACACTGTTTTTATACGGCTGCTAAATATGTTTTATGATGGTCTAATTGTTAGAAAAAATGAGTATGAGCATCTCTGTATGGTTGCATTCTACCAGCCAGTATAGCTGAGTAAGAATCACTGTTTCCTAGGAACCAGGTGTGGTGGTGCAAACCTGTAATCCCAGGGGAGGCTGAGGCAGGAAGATAGAGAATTCAAAGATAGCCTCAGCAATTTAGCAAGGCCCTAAGCAATTCAGCGAGATCCTGTCTCTAATAAACAAAATACAAAAAAAGGCTGGGGATGTGGCTCAGTAGTTAAGTACCTCTAGGTTCAATACCTGATACCAAAAAAAAAAAAAGGAATCATTGTGTTTCCAGAGCATACTGGACTTTAGACTCTAATTTTCTCATAATATTTTAAAATACAAATTATGTTCAAATGGCTACCAAGTAATGAAAAAATGATTCTACATTTAATATACATTAGAATCCTTTTTAAAAAATATTTTTAATAATTTTTTTTAAAGAGAGAGAGAATTTTAATATTTATTTTTTAGTTATCAGTGGACACAACATATTTGTCTGTATGTGGTGCTGAGGATCAAACCTGGGCCGAATGCATGCCAGGCGAGCGCGCTACCGCTTGAGCCACATCCCCAGCCCAACATTAGAATCCTTTGGGTATAAACTCAAATGATATACTGATGTGTACATTTGTGCATGTTTTAAATATCAAGAAATAAGACACATAATGTGGGGAGGGGGAAGAAATGAGATCCTTTATGAGAAAGGCTGACAAGCTATAGATGATTCTGTATCAGGAAAAAGGTTTTTATTTCACTCTGCATCCTTTTCCCAGTTTTCCAAATTAAGCACAACAAGTTTTATATATTTATATAAAATTTGTTATTAGAAATATAATTCTAGGGCTGGGGTTGTGGCTCAGCAATACAGTGCTCATGTAGCATGTGCAAGGCCCTGGGTTCGAGCCTCAGCACCACATAAAAATAAATAAAATAAAGGTACTGTGTCCAACTACAGCTAAAAAATATATATTAAAAAAAGAAGAAAAAAACCCTATAATTTTATAACGTTTAATTAAGATACCTATATTTACTTGAGGGTCACTTGCATTTTTTTACATCATTAATTAAATGTATCTGTTGAGAACAGCTGAATGTTACTGGAAACCTTACAGAAAGAAAACAAAATGTGAAATAAAGGATTGGTAGTCAACTAAATTTTTTCACTAAATCAGTGTATTTTATATGCCTAAGTTCTTGGGGAAAAAAAATAACAGGACCATTATTTAAAAATATACATGTTAATACGTTAATGAGATGCTTAACTTACCAGCAATATACCTGGACTTAGTCTCTCCTTTATTCACATGGCGCCTAACGTGTCCTAGCATATCAGTCCTTCTGGTGATTGTTGCTGAACAAATGATACAATGATAATGGGCTCCCATTTTACTGAATATCTATCAAACAGAATTTGAATAAGTTACTAAGACAATTAAACAGAAGTTTAAAGTTGCAAATACGTTAGTGTCTTGGGTTAAGTAGCATAGAAGATAATGATCATTTTGCCATATGACTGTTAAAGAATCCTAACTTCCTTACAGAATTTACTTTCTCTTTTTGTGGGTGGGGAGTAGGAGGTGGTGTTTGAGGGGTTCCAGGAATGGAATCCAGGGGTGCTTAACCACTGAGCCACATCCCCAGTCCTTTTACTTTTTGAAACAGGGTCTCAACTAGGTTGCTTATAATCTTGCTAAGTTGCTGAGGCTGGCTTTGAACCTTCGATCCTCTTGCCTCAGACTCCCAAGCTGCTGGGATTATAGGCGTGAGCCACAGTGCCCACCCAGCTCCTTACTAAATTTAATTTCCTAGTTTTCCACATTCTTTCTATTCAGGAAATAACTCTAAGGTATTTTCTATAAGCTGCACTTACAAATGCTAGCAGATGTATGCTGGTAAATGTTTAACTGACTCTTCAAGAAAATAAAGCCCTGACTTTAGTGTTTGCCAATTTCTACGGTATACTGTACCATGGCCAATTTCAAGCCATAATTGTGACAGATTTCAAAATACAAATGCAACATCACTGAATGTGGATTTGAGAAGAGATGTGTAAAATCATACCATTATAGAACATTATCACCATGCAGATGTAAATAACTTTGAGGGCACAGAGAGTGAAATGTAGAAAAAATAATTAGGAATGGTAAATTCTGAATATCATTAGCTTTTTTTGGTTAAAACTTTTAAGATTTCAGAAAATTTGTTGATTCTGTCAAACTTAAAAGTTCAAAGAACATGGGGAGAGTGAATATAAAATTGAAACATACTAAGTTATTTACTAATTCACAGAAATTTGAAGCTTGTACTCCATGATCAAAATTTATTTTAAAAGACAAAAATTACTCTGTAAATTCTCCATTCCAAAATTGGTAAATGATTTAATTTTCATTTTTAACACAAGAGCAGTTTACCTAACTGAAATTAAAAACCATAAAATGAAAAGTTAATTAAAAATGTTTTCATAAATCTCATATTTTTTCTATTATGATTATCTGAAAGCACTCACATGCAGAATTTTAAACTATATTGTTAAACATGAGCATTTTACATAAGTCAGAAATTACTTCTTGGCCTTTTGGTTGAAATCAAACAGTTCTAAAGCAAATAAAAACTGTATTTTTTTTTAAAAAATTAAATTTAAAAGCAAAAATAATAATGTCCAATTACCTGTTCTCCAATAATATTTGGTTTTACTGGTCGACACGGTAAGTGACAGATGCACATCCTATAACCTAGAATGAAGAATGGCTGGCTGTCATATCATTGTTCATTAAAAATTCAATTAGCACTAAAAATTGTCAGTAAGAGCCTACTGCACAGGTGGATTTGTCCAGATGTTTTATGAATACATTCCTTTACTTTACAGCCAGGGTCACTGTTTTGATTGTCACCTAAAGATTGGAGATAAGGGAAGTCCCAGCTTCCCCTCTCCATTTCCTTCCTTATCATATTTTTTACAGTCCTTGTTTCATCATAAGCTTTCCTAGGCAGTGATGAATGTTTTTTAAATTTATTCAAATTAGTTATACATGACAGTAGAATGTATTCTGACACATCATGCATATATGGAGTATAACCTGTCATTCTTCTGGTTGTACATGATGTAGAATTATACCAGTCATGTAATTATATATGCACATAGGGTAATAATGTCTGATTCATTCTACTCTCCCTCCTACCTCCATACCCCCTCCCCTCCCTTCACTCCCCTCTGCCTAATCCAAAGTAACCCCCACCCCCAGCTTATTGTGAATTAGCATCTGCAGATCAGAGAAAACATTCAGACTTTGGTGTTTTGAGATTGGCTTATTTCTCTTGGCATGATAGTCTCCAGCTCCATCCATTTACCTGCAAATGCCATAATTTCATTCTTATTTAAAGCTGAGTTAATATTTCATTCTGTATATATACCACATTTTCTTTATACATTCATTTGTTACATTTTTGAGCACAAGGATTACAATTTCTCTACATCCTTGCTAACACTTCTTATTTTATGTTGGAGAGTAGCCATTCTAATGGGTGTGAAGTAGTTATCTTGTATTTTGATTTGCATTTTCCTAATCAGTGATGTTGGGATATTTTCATTTGTAAGTCTTTGGAAAATGTCTATTTAAATCTTTGCCCATTTTTTAAAAAAATGTTTTTTAGATGTTGATGAATCTTTATTTTATTCATTTTTTATAATATGTGATGCTGAGAATCAAACCCAGCCTCACACATGGTAGGCAAGTACTCTACTGTGACATCCCCAGCCTCCCTGCCCATATTTTAATCTTCTTGTTTGGGGTTTGCTGTTATCGTTTTTTTAGCTTGAAGTGTTGCCTATTCTGTGTTACTCTCTTATCAGATTTGTAATTAGTAAATATTTTCTCCCATTCTTTGGGTTGCCTTTTTGCTCTGTTGATAGTGTCCTTTCATGTGCAAAACTTATAAATAATTGTCGTGCAGTCCAGTTTGTCTATTTTTCATTCTGTTGCTTATGCTTTTGATGCCCTACCCAAGAAATTATTGCCAAATTCAATGTTGTGAAGCTCTGTCCGTGTTTTATCCTAAAGCTTTTATTTTTATTTTTTAATTTTCGGCGGACACATCTTTATTTGTATGTGGTGCTGAGGATCGAACCCAGGCTGCACGCATGCCAGGCGAGCACGCTACACTTGAGCCACATCCCCAGCCCCTAAAGCTTTTATTTTGTTTCAGGTCTTAAATTTAGATTCTGATTCATTGATTTAATTTTTGTGTACGACCAAGTAAAGTTCTAATTTTATTCTCTCAAAAAATATTACATGAGAATTACATAAGAATAATTGGGATTATCCTTGTATTTGTAATGTCACAATTACTTGAATGAGACTGCTTTAGTTTATACATGGGATTGATAGATATAAATAAATACAGAAGATTCAGACTTGAATTCTAGTCTTGTAATGAATATTTAATCTGGGATTATTAGTCATTTAAAGTCTTTGACACTCAGTTTAATAGTGCTGCCTTCAATTTTTTCTTAGGCTTCATCTTCTTTGTCTCATACTATATTTGCCATTATACACTCTTTTTTTCATTTATGATCAGCACCATCCTGATTCTTTTCCCACCTTTTAAAATCTTCTTTTACAGATCTCCTTTGCATTACCTACTCTAAAATGTAAATATTACTTAGGCTAGATTAGCTGTGACTTTTTTCCCTTGGTTACTTTTAACTTCTTTCATGATTCCAATTCTTTCTCTTATAGGAGAGAAAGGCAATGATTTCAGAATATTTATCTTATAACCCAGAATAATCTGAGTATTCTTTTTTTAGGGGGGTACTGGGGATTGAACTCAGGGGCACTCAACCACTGAAGCACATCCCAGCCCTATTTTTAAAATATTTTATTTAGAGATAGGGTCTCAATGAGTTGCTTAATGCCTCCCTTTTGCTGAGGCTGGCTTGGAACTCGTGATCCTCCTAGCTCAGCCTCCCAATCTGCTGGGATTATAGGCATGTGCTAGTTACCCAGCTATAATCTGAGTATTCTTCTTTTTTTCCCCCTCCTTGTAAAGCATTTTATTGTTTCTCACAAATTAGGGGAAATATCATTATCAGTAACAGAAAAATCCTTACTTAACAAAACATGTGAAAGCGCAGAAGAATTTGGCAACAACTCTGATGAATTCCAGTGTTACTAATTTACAGTTCTTTTAAACTATACTGTAATTTATTTATTTTTATTTTTTTTAAATTTGTTTTAATTAGTTACACATGACAGTACAATGATCTTGACATATCTTACATTTGAATCAGATGGGGTATAATTTCTCATTTTTCTGAGTGTACAGGTTGCAGAATCATATTGGTCATGCAGTCAGTCACAAATATACATACAGCAATAATAATGTCTATTTTATTCTGTTGTCCTTCATTTCCCCCTTCCCCTCTCATCACTACTATACTGTATTTTATACTCAAAGCTTTCATAAAGAATACCAGATTCAGTAACTCCTGAAATGACCCACAACAAGCAAGCACTGACACTACTCCTTTAATTCTTCCTATGTTCATGCTTATGTAGATTTAGTTCGCGAAACACAAATCTTCTCTTGCAACTACTAAGTACTCTTAACTCTAGTTTCTTAAGCCATCAGGAATAAAAAGATTTTTTTCCAGTAGTTTTGCTTTATTTTATTGTTTTGGTACATTTACTTTGCCTTCAAAATTATGTGTAAAATGGAAGTTGTTTTACTACTAATGGAAAAGTGTAATTTATTAAAACACTGTTCAATAAACAATATGGACTCCCAGGGCCAGAGTACCTAGTATAGAATAGATGCTTAATAAATGTTTGTGTAGGGGCTGGGGATGTGGCTCAAGCGGTAGCGCGCTCGCCTGGGACGCGTGCGGCCCGGGTTCGATCCTCAGCACCACATACCAACAAAGATGTTGTGTCTGCCGAGTACTAAAAATAAATAAATAAATAAATATTTAAAAAAAAAAAAAATGTTTGTGTAACTAAATTGTATCATTTGTATCTATTGCCGATAAAGCTATTATCTTATTTAATAAGGGGCATTAAATCCTTCATAATTTTGAACTGAAACTGTTTGATCATGTTCACAATAAAATTCCAAGACTAGTAATAATAATAAATTTCATGTATGTCATTTTTTTTTTTTAGCCAGCACAAAAATACTAACCTTCAAATTCAACTGAGACTTTCCAGTGTAAATTCTGAAGATGACGACGAAGCTTATGACTATTACAAGCTCTGAATTTTTCCTTAGGGCACAATGGACAAACTTGTTTGTTTCCTGAAAAAGTAACAAGACCCAAAAATGCACAAGAATATACTAGCTATTAATGCCTAGATTCAGCTATAAAAGAGGCAAAAGGGAACTTTCCCATGCTCCCCTCCTACTTTTTAGCAAATGACCCTTGACTTTTTTTTTTTAATTCTTTAGTTCCCCTTTCTGTGGCTAGCTGATATCTCCGTTGCTACTAGGAACAGAGAAGTTGAGAAAATGATACACATATGTACCACTTATCCCTTCCTCAGTTAACACTGAGGAAGTTTGTAAAATGGAAGAAGGAAGTGAAAGAGTAGATGAGACCCAATATAACTGGTATTCTGAGATGGTGGGGGGCATGGTTAGAACCACTGTATCTTGAATTTCACTGTATTGCTGAACATATAAGTTCATCATTCTTTATTCACATACTCCTTAGATTATGGATTACTAATTAATTAGAAATCCAATGTATCGCAATTAAAAACTTTTATAGTGTACAAAACAATTAAATCTTAATTCAGGATTAGAGCAATAAAAACTACAGAACTAAACAATAACTCATTTAATAATTTTTAGTCTAACAAATATTTTTCACATACAGCACAATACAAGAATAGGTACATAAAATTTAGCCAGGTACAGTGCATTACACATCTGTAATCCCAGGGAATCTGGAGGCTAAGGCCAGGGGGAATCACAAGTTTGAAGTCACCTGGGAAATGCAGCGAGAATTTGTCTCAAAATAAAAAGTAAAATGGGCTGGAGATGTAGCTCAGTGGTAAAGTGCCCCTGGTTCAATCTCCAATTAAAAAAAAAAAACAAAAAACAGGCACAATTTATGTTTTTATATATACTGCCTACCTCAAAAAAAAAAAAAAAAAACCCACCAAAAAACCATGACGTTGCTGGGGTTATAGCTCAGTGGGAGAGCACTTGCCTAGCACGTGTGAGGCACTGGGTTCCATCCTCAGCACCACGTAAATATAAATAAATAAAGGTACTGTGTCCATCCACAACTAAAAATATTTAAAAACAAAAACAAACAAACCATGAGGTGATCTTAGTAAAGTAGAAAAAGAGGAGTGAGGCACTGACAACACTGCAAAATGTTCCAACCAGCCCTACTACACTGCCTATCTTGGGACTTTTACATGTTATTTAAAATGCTGTTCTGGGGATCTCTGTTAACTTGTAGCCATGTAATTCCTAATTTACAGAATACACAGCCCTGAAAGACCAAGAGTTTGTAGTTTCCTTGAGGAGTTATGAATTAACTTATTTCACAGCACCTTTGCACATAGAAGCTACCAATTTCTTGAATAATATTTTCAAAATTTTACTATTCTAGTTAAATAAGAATAAACAGGTCTGTTCTCTTTCTCTTGCAGTGTTAGGGATCCCAAGGCCTCGTCCATGCTAAGCATGTGCTCTACCACTAAGCTTTAATCACAGCCCTTAAACAAGTCTATTCTTAGGAGACTGGCAATCAGCTGAAAGATGACAACCCAACAGAAAGTAAGTGGGGACAGGGGGCAGATAGAGACACAATCAATCAATCAATCAATCAACATACCTGTATCAAGATTATCTGAGTTCAATGAATTGGCAGAATCAAAATCCCCTTCAGTTACAAAAGCTAACTTCTCCAGATCACCAAGCTGCCTTTGAATTGAGATGTGTCTCTCTGAAAAGAAATTTGAGTTATAAAATTATTTTTTAACAATTTGTTTTTTAGTTTCAGGACAATAGAGAAGCCAAAGAAGTGCTGTAAAAGAGAAACTGCTTAGTATTAATACTAAACATTACAAACAGTTGCAAAGACCAAGAAAAGATTACTGGATTTAGTATGTAGCATGTCTGGTGACCTTTAAAAAAGCTTGAGGTGCTTGGGAGTAGAAATGAGATTGAAAGGGGAAAGGAAATTCAGAAAATTAGTGTAATTACTTTTTCAAGAACTTTGGCAATAAACAAACAACAACAACAAAAACAAAACAAAAAATCAAAAGAAAGAAAAAGCAAATTAAAATTTCATCTAAGCACAGAAATACCCTGAATATATTTGCATTCCAAAGAAAAGGGAAATTTACAAAGTGGGAGCCCAATATAGCTCCATATGCTAACAGATAAAGCTCCTAAAGAGATAGGAGAATATATAAATTGTTATGTTAAACAATTTTTGACACTCTGACCTTCCCAACTATTCCTCCATAAACTTCATTCTCAGTTCACTTGTTCACTCATTTGTTTAATTAAAAAAAAAAAAAAACATTTTTTGCCTGTGGTACTAGGGATTGAACTCTGGGCCTAAAACGTGCTAGGCAAGCTGCTAACCCTGAGCTGTGCCACCAACTCTTTTTTAAAATTTATTTTGATAGTCTAAGTGGCCCAGGATGGTCTCAATTTGCCTCAACCAGCAGTGGAATTACAGGCATGTGTCACCACACCTGGCTCATTTATATAATTTGTGTTATTATCTGTCTTTCCTCACAAATCAGCAATAAAATAGGGGCTATGCCTTATTCACTGGTTTAATGGTTAGTGCAGGAACTTGACAGAGCATGCACTGAAATCTATTAAACAATTAAAAAAAATTATTAGGGATGAAGCAGAAGCACACTGCATCAATAATTTGGGGATCAATTTAGCACTACAAACATTCCTGTTCAAGTTTATTAAAAATATGGTTTTCCACTTTATTTTTAATTGAATAAAAACAAAGAGCAACAAACATTGGTTAACTTTTTTTCTAGGTATTATTCAAATAAATTTTAATGAGATATAATTTGTCAAAACCAGACAAAAATTTGATTAAATACAGTTTCAACTGCTAGGTCAGGCCAGGCACAGTGATGCACACCCACAATCCCAGCAACTTGGGAGGCTAAGGCAGGAGGATCACAAGGTTGAGGCCAGCCTGGGCAATTGAGACCTTGAGTCTAAATAAAAAGAGTCTGAGATGTATCTCATTGGCAGGACACTACTGGGTTCAATCCACAGTACCACAGAACAATAAAGGAAATTTATAGGTAAGACATTAAAAGTCAAGATATGAAAACATGCATATAAACCAACCCATCACATTTGTAACAATAAAGACTTTTGGCTTTCATAGTTCAAAGAGCTGTATATGTGAAACAAGACAGAACTATATAAAAATGTACTCATTGAAATTATTCTGTTAAAAAAAGAGAAAGATCTCAGTAAATTAGAGAACAGAAAATCCTGTGGTCCACAATTGAAGAAAACTGTCAAAGACCTGTCTGAAAATTCGTAATATTCCTGTAAACATCTCTGAAATCACTTTCTGGTTTAAAACAGTAGATATCATGAAATCTGTACTTAAATCAGCCAACTTGCTTTTTGTAACATACTAATAATCCAGAAGTCAACAGGCACACCTTTTGTTAAATTAGATGAGTCCAAGTTGCTAGGAGGTTCTTCAACAACCTTTGTTACTTTCTCCTTAATTTTCAAATCTATTTCAGAAACACCATCTTCATCTTGCCTAGTTACAATTGAGTTGGAAGGACTAACTAGACTGTCTAAAAAATAATTTTTTAAAATGTGATTAATATGAATTTTAGTTCTAATGTAATTCAGATTTCTCAATCATTAATTTGTCCCAGCAATGCATTTTCAGGTTACCCAAACGGTGGACATACACATTTTTTAAATCACATACACTTTTAAAATATATAAGTAAATACTATGTTTAAGGCAATCTTAATGAGGAGAAGTGGTGAAACGTGCATGCCCAAAGCTGTTGAACCACTTCTGATTAACTTAAGCAGATAAAATCTGTAGTTGAGGCAGGACGCTATTTACTTAGGAATTATGCAATGCCTCTACCCACGTACCACAGCGGTAAATGAAGGAATAACAGACCTTACATTCAACCTACAATTCTGATCTTTTGAGGAGGAGCCTACCTCAGATGTCTGACGATAAACTCTGCTCAATCTGCTATAAGTTACATGTTGTTTTAAAGCTATTATCCATTAGACAACTCAAGTAGTTTTTTTTTTTGGTACCGGAAATTTAACACAGGGGTGCTTAACCACTGCAACACATCCCCAGCCCTTTTTATTTTTTTTAAACTTTGGGACAGGGTCTCCCTGGATTGCTGAGGCTGGTCTCCAACTTGCCATCCTTCTGTCTCAGCCTCCCAAACTCCACAGCGCCCAGCTTATTCAGGTGTTTTATAAACATTAAAAGCAAAACTGCCCTGGAAGTAGTAAAGATGAATTAACCTAAGACAGTTTGAGAATTCAGAACGAGTATAAAGTTTATGGGCCACAAAATAATTTTCTTTTGAAGGAACGAAGCCTTAGATTTCACATTTTAAAATGTTCAAAAGATCCTTTTAAAAGTATTAACCACCACTTAGAAAACATGCAAGCACATTCAGAGCACAATAGGGCCTATCTTCTACAGCTGACTCCTGGTGGGCTGTTGGGATGTACAAAACTCAACTAACGTTTATGTGTAAAGAGACGACTGAGTAGACTCTTCCAAACTCATCAGCTTCAAAATCTTTATAGAGACAAGCCCATCTCAAGGCAGAAAAACTGACAGCAATAGTTTCTAAATCTTCGCAGCCAGGATCTACTGTTAGGTTGCTTCGGTTTCTATGTCACATTTGAAAGGATTAAGTTAACTAAAGGAGCCTAGGCTGAGAGGGAAACTATCATATTATGGATAACTTCCTTTTCTATACCATAAAAATTCCTCTTCAACGAAGAAGGCTTTAACCTCATTATTTCCTTCTATCTGCAGCACCCCTGGCCTCCACATATCCTTCACGGTAATGTCCTCGAGATTTACGGTGTCTTCTTCCAGTACCGCTGCTTTACCCTTACCCGTCACACCGGTCTCGCCTCCCCCACCCTATATTTCCCTAAACCTGCCTTTCCCCATAAAACCCCTTCCCTACTCCCCAGTCGGGAGCCTTTTCTCGCTCCTCTGCGGTAGAAAGATCTAGGCCTCCTGCACTTACTGCTTTCATCCTCCTCAGGGGCAGAGGCTAGGGACGGGGACAGGGCCGGAGCCTGGGCCAGGGCAAGGGCTGGGGCTGGAGCCGAGGCCGGAGTCGGAGCCGAGGCTGGAGCCGAATCTGGGGCGGGAGCTGGGACCCGAGCCGAGTCCGGGGCTGGGGTCGGGACCTGGGCCGCCGCCTCCTGCAGGGGTAGCAGCTCCTCCTCCGCCATGTTCTCCATAGTTACCGCCTCCGTGCCAGGCCCGCCCGAGGACCGGGAGGGGCTCACGGCGGGGTGAGAGAACTGACGTTAATGCCCACAGGGCTAGATCCGAGGAGTGGGGAAGCACCGGGGAGGGCGGGACGCGTGCAACCGACAAAAGACGAAGAACCAGTGACCAAACCCTGCCCGCAGGAAAAGAAAAAGCCAAAGGCAGCGAATCGAGAACCCATGAGCTTCCCGTTCCTCGAGGCGTTACGACGCCGCCACAGACTGCGCAGAAGCGAGCTGGCGCCTGCGTCCAATGGGGTGAGAGAGTTCGATTTCCACCTAGCGCATCCGTCCCGCCTGCAGCTGGCGAACGGAGCTGAGCCTACAGCCCCCAGAGTGCATTGCGTCGCGGGGCGGGGCGAAGCCAAGCCTTCCAAGCGAGTATCTGGAGGTCTAAACAGACGCAGCGGAGCGCTCGCGCGGGAGGCTGGGCCTGAGCGCAGGACTACGTTTCCCAGCGGGCCGCGGGCCTGCGGGGACCCATTCCCGTGCCTGGGCCTCCGGAGTCGCTCCTGCGGTGGGCGCTGGTAAGTGGGGAGCTGGGGGTGTGCCGGCCTGCCGCTGAGCAGGGTCCCCTCCGCCGTCTGCCCCCAGAACCCTAGCGGGCCGCCGGCGGAACTGGAGACGCGAGAGTGACTCGTGCCTGGACGGAGCGACTCTGTGGGCGGATCCACGGTCGGCCCGGCGCCGTGGAGGGTGTGGTTCTAACCTGGCCCTGCCTCTGGGGCTGCCTTTCGCGGCTTGTAAGAGTCTGGGAATGGGCTGGTGGTGACCCAAATCACCGCGGGGCCACCCAAGAAGCTACCCTGCCCGACGGCCCGGCTGACTGGGACTTGGACTCTGCTCTTCGTATCACACTCTCACCCACGTCGTGACCCCAACCCCCTCTTCCTTTAAGTTTGTTTACCTTTAGTTTTCAATAGCGCTGCGGTGTGGTCGTAGGTGTCCAGTACTTAGCACGTTGTTTTTTTGCCCTGTTTTGCTTTGTTTTTAGGCTTTTAATAGCCAGAGCTAAAAGCGTGTTGAGCTTTTGGGCACTTGATTGATGCATTCAGATATCTCAAGGTGTATGTCCGGTGAATCGTCCCCTTATCCCTCCATGCTTTTCTCCAATTTTACTTTCTAGCCTTACTTAGCATTCAGGGTTCCCTAGTTATTTTCCTTCCCCCCCGCCCCTCGGGTAAGCCCACTGGAGCAGGCAGGGCAAAACTTTTTTTGGTTGTCCTTCCTGTGACTGGTCTGAACGTTATGAGCTGCAGGGAAGAAGAGGGGAAGCCCATTTTAGTCACAGGTATCAAACTGTTCGGTTTTCTTAGTTAACAAAGCTAAGTGCTTCTTGTGTTGTTTGGTTTATTTCCTACTTGTTTCGGAACCCAGTGGAGAGAGGACGCGTGATTATTTGGCACTTTGAACCCCTAACCGGAAGTTGGTCTCCTTTTTCTAGTTAGGAAATATATTTGGAGGGTTTTTTGTTTGTTTTAAAAATTTCCCCCAGTTTAATGGAAGCACTATCCCCACGAAGCTTCTGCGAGTTATAATACTAAAGCTCCTTTAGTCCACCCCCTTTTAATTAATATTCCTGGATATGTAGTCGACCCACTGTTTAACAGTTAATTAAAAATAGAATAAGAACACTTATTATAAACTGTGGAAGTGCCACCTGTGTCTGTATCAGTGCAACACTCGAGAATAATTAATTTTTTTCATTCCTAGATAATTGTTTTTCCCCTCCCCCATCCGTTCTGGGCATGGAACTCAGGGTAAGAGTACATACTAGGCAAGTACTCTTACTACTGAGCAACATCCCCCTGACCCAATCAATCTCTAAAAGACTAGATGGTTATTGAAACTTTTATTCAGTAAGTCATCCTCATCATTTAAGACCAGCAGGAAACCAGATGATGAAAAGGATTTGATATTAACCTGTGTTTTAGTAAAAATTGCTAAGTGTGAAGGAATTTTCAAAGTTGAATTACACTAAGGAAATGTACTGTTCGTTGGTAGCTGCATGTTATCCCAAAACTTAGTGGCTTAACACAATAATTTTATCACTCTAAAGTTTCTGTGGGTCAAAAATTCAGAAATGGCCTTTGAGTGGATCTGACTTGTCTTTGATGAAGCTGCAGTGAAGATATCTCTGACAGGGATGTGAAGATATGATAGGGCTATAGGATGCTTCAAAGGTAGCTCACTTACATGCATGGCAGTTGGTTCTGGTTGTTGGCAACAGGCCTCCATTCTTCTCTAGTGGGCCTTTCCCTGGACTGCTTCAATGTCACTTAAGACATAGTGTCATTCCCTAGATTGATCAATCCAAAACAGCAAGACAGAAGTCACAGTGTCTTATATGACTTAGTCTTATGCCACCATGTGGCAGTATCCTATTGGTTACACAGGTCAGCCCTGTTCCTTATGGAGGGGACTACTGAGCTTGTGATTGCTAAGCAACAGGAATCCTGGATAGCCATCTAGGTGAAGGCCCACATAGGGGAGTCCCCCTCAAGTTTGTTTTTATTAGCATAAATTCAATATGAATCTCACACTAATGTAAATGGAAAACATTTGTCACAGTAAACATTTAGATGTTTTTTGTTGGATAGTCCACTGTCTGGAGTGTTCTTTTTCAGTGTCTTGTAGGTAAGAGGTTTAAATTGGTATTGGGGTATCCACAGCAACAATAATAGACCAGCATGATAAGTTAAAATTGTAAAAGGAAACTTTATAATCAGTCAGTTGCCCCTAAGCAATGTCTTTAATGGAATATCTTTAAGTTATGTTGCCCCAGGTTGGCCAGGAACTCCTGGGCTTAAGCCATCCTTCTGCCTTAGCCTGGGACTACCTGTAGCCAACACCATGCTAGGCTGCAGGGTTTTTTTTTTTTTTTTTTTTTTTCCCCCAGTTGTGCATTTCCTTCCCCACCTGTGGAATGGAATCCTTGGAGACAAGAAAGGGTAAAGATTACTGCTGGAAGGTCAACTGTGAATTCAACCATTACCATAATTATCTTACAAAGGAAAAATTGGGGGTAATTTAGAATTTGTTCTTAGAAGTTGTATTGAATATTCTGTAACCAAAAACTGGGTCCTTGACCCCAAATGCCAATTAATGCTAATTTAATAATGAGAAAAAGGAAAAAAGTTGTTTTATTGCTTTGCTAGTAAAGGAGAAACATCGGGAATCCTGTCCCTGAGGCTGTGATTCTCACTGTCAGGAGGGACAGGGTGGAAGGTGTTGGTTTTAAAGGAACTCTTCTAAGGTTACATTCCAGATGTGTTCTGGTAGGGGGTCCCAGGGCACCCTGTTGGCATGTAGGGATTCACTTGTTAATTTGGGAGATATTAATTTCCCAGATCCTCAGCAGGCATCTCCTTCCCATAGTGAGTGAGTTGAAGGACAATTAACTAGGAGAAGAAAAGATACACTGTCTCCCTAATATTTTTAGGGAGGGGGGTGGAAAGGGGAGAAGACCTAAAAAACAAACAAATAAACAAACAAACAAATGTTCTTTTTTAAAAAAATAAGCCTTGGAACAACAAGGGCTATATTCAGAAGTTGAAGGGACCACTGTTAAAATTCATTTGCTAATTTTTCTTATTAGATTTTCAGTTAGCTGTTAAAATTTTCTTCTTGATATTCATTAAATCATTCTAAAAATTTCAGTATAATTGGTCATTTTTTTGGTAGAAGTTCAGCTATTCCCATTATGGTTGACCAGTAGTAAGTGAAGTTGCCTGGTTTCTAGCCTTTGTTATGTTCACAATCTCAATATGTGTCACTGCCAGCTATTAATTGTTTTGCTTCTAGATCCTTTTTGTTTAGTCCTGCCCCGACAGACCTGTCTATGTTCCCAATCCCTGGCCACTGTGTCCTAGTGTGAGATGCTGCTCTGTGCTGCTGGAGCACACTAATTTGAGAATGTTTATGACTGCAAGGTGTGGCTGTGTGTGCCTTCTACCCCGCCCCTTTTGGTTATCAGCTTCTAGCCTCCCCCCGCCCTTTGGTTATCAGCTAACAGTAGTGAGTGTGTTCTAGAGCAATTAACTAGGGGAAGAAAGGATAACACTGTTATCTTCTCCCTTCTTTCCCTCCCTAACAAGATTAGACTTGGTCTAGTGTATGAATGAAAAAGTAAAACTGGGATTGAAAGTGAACAGAGGAACAGCAGTAGGCAGGAGTTGGGAGTGTAATCACAAAATGATGGATGCAGACCTCTACAGATTCAGTGAAGCTGTTTATTCAGCTCAGGCACCGTGGGGCTCATTTTCTGGATGTGAAAATAGCTGTTGGTTACAGAGGGGATTTTAGTTTTATAGTGTACAGTGAGGTGGTTTAATCATTGGAAACTGTGGACTTGCCCTTTGGACAGTCAGGGGCTAGTTGTGTAGGTTAAATCTTTAACTCAGGAAGGCAGTTGTAAAAAGGTTGAAACTGATTGTTACCTGGAGAGATAGTAGCGCAGATTCCAAGATAGTACTCAAATCTCGCCCACTGGTTTTCTTTTTCTGGGATTTGTTGTTTCCCAGAGTTTCGATATTTGCTGTGCCTCCATTTAGGACTAATTTGCAGTGGGAGAAAGGTCAAAATACAAAGCACTTAGTATCCGCCTGCTTCCTTCAGTGCCTGTTGTTTTTGGGAAAGGATTTACTAGGAGAAGTTAATGCTTGGCTAATTTCCCCTGCCTCCTCCTGAGCTGCACTGTAACCTTTTAGGAAGTGGCTCAGAATGAGTGAATATTCTGAGGAAGAAGAATTCATCCAGGTATTCATTCAGCAGGCATTTACAGGCATCTCTCAAGTTTTTCATACAGTGTATTTTTCTTAGTGCTCTATGTCTAGTAGAAAGACAAACCACATAAGTATTTATTTAGACCCCACTATGTTCCACCCTGTGCAAGCTGCATTTTATATCCATTATTTCATTTGACTCTCTCAAAAAGGGTGAGTTGTCTTTGTTTTTATATGTAATGAAAGTAGCACTCAAAGGATTATGCAATTTGCTCTTAGCCTCACTTACTGAGTGACAGAGGGTGTGTCTGGGAAACTGAAAATTTATGACTAATTGGTTTTGAGGTATAGAAGTGCTAAAATATAGTCCTGCAGGCAGTTGAAAATGGTGATCTGATATTTCAGGGACAAGTCAGGGTTTATGGCATAGTTTTGAGATTCATTCCTGAAAAGTCGATGAATAACGCTGAGATAAAGGAGCAACTTCTCA